GTGGTTGCATAGGCTGGTGTGCTTCTTCCATGTGGGCTTTGTTGCTTCTGAGCTTGATGGCCGCTTGATTACCTTCAAGCCTTTAAGACCCCAGAAGCTATACTTTTTGATAGCCGGGCACCATCAGAAATGAGTGACTTATGCGCTTTACACAATTGATGTGTGTATGGATTGGGATAACAGTTGTATGAGCCCCTAATAAAATGTTAAAAAAAAAAGAAATGAGTGACTTTTATTTATTTTTTTTAACTTGAGTATTTGTGCAGGAACTTAGAATGTTAGTAGGATCATTATTTCAGAGGGAAAGGATTATAAAGCCAGAAGATTCTGATCTATGGGATCCCCATGTGTCAGGGCAGAACTGTGCTCCACAGGGCTTTCCATCACTCCTTTTTCAGAAGCAGATTGCCAGGCCTTCCTTCTGAGGTACCTCTGGGTGGACTGAGGCTCCAACCTTGCGGTTAGCTGCCGAGCACGGCGGCATCCCCCAGGGTCTCCTCAACACAGGGGAGAAAACGGGCTTTCCTCCTCCTTTGTCAGATGCCCCGCATTGTTGGGAGTGGGAACATCAATGACGTTTGCAGGACCAGCAAATAAGAGAGGAGCAAATCAGACAGGCTTATAAAATACCTACTCCAAGGAAGGTTGAGGAGGCAATGACTCCAGCCCCCAGTAAGAGGTTCTCTCGTGGGTGATCATGCTAGGGAAACATAAAAGTAGGTGCTTAGCAAAGGTCCCCGTGTCACCCAGCAAGGATAATTAAAAAACAAACAAGCACTGAGAGAAACGCCAGCAAAAGGGCCCACATCTGGCCCTCTGGCACTCACGTAGCTGGTGTTCCCATTGACGATGTTGAAGGATGTCAGGTAGGTGTAGAGGGAAAACTGTGGGCAGAGAGGCAAATGGACCCTTGTTATAATGTGAGCCTAACAGAGCTCAGTCACCGTGCGTGAGGCAGAAACAATGGCTACCTGGGGTAAAATCATGGTCTTCAACCCTCTGGATGGCATCATTGACAAAAACAGCTTTGGAGAAGGAAGAAGAGAGTGGTCAGTGTTTGGGGGTTGGCAGGGCCTGCAGGAGTCTGGAACCTCCCAGGGAAGATGGCAGCTGAGCCCCCCAGGATCAGGGACAAGGTGGGTGGCAGTGAGATACAGAGGCCATGGGTCAGCAGACTATCCAATGCTAAGAAGCACCCACAGGGCCCTGAACTAGCTGCCTGGGGATGTCGGAAGCTTCCCAGTTATCCCTGTCCCCATGCCAGAAACCTGACAGGGCAGCTCAGACTTACTTGGAAAGGGACACAGGAGGGATGGGTGAGGTGGGTGGAAGCACCTTAGGGGCACAAAGAGGAACGGTCTCACTGGGGGAAGGGGCGACTCCGGTCCCAGGTGGGGGCCTGCGTTGGGAGGGCCTAGGCAAGAGGCTTACAGCCCACCTGCTTGGGCTTGTGGGCACGTCTCACGCCCTGGTCTCCACAGTGCATTGCACACAGTGGGAGTTGAAACTGAGGGCAGCCTGTGGTATCGAGGGCTCAGATGCTGACGGGACAGATAAGCACAGGGAGGCAGAGGTGGGTATAGAGGGCAGAGCAGGGTCACAGGTGAGGAGCCCCCAGGACAGGGCGGAGCTGCAGGACACTGGCTGAAGTCAGGCTGGGGTGGCCGTCTTCCTGGCGGTGAGGGGCAGCGTACTCACCAAGGGCCCCATGAAAGGCAGGAAAGCTGGACAGGAGAGAAGAGCCATCAGTGACACAGCTTCGGAGGCCCCAAGGGGACAGGAAGGGGCGCCTGCTGAAGCCACAGACCTCAGAAGGAAGCTGCACTCGTTGTTTGTCCCCCCTCCACCCCCACTCCCCACAAGTAAAAATAACAAACATGCACCTAAGGTACAAACTCAAAACTGAGGCAAAGAGCAAACAGCAGCCTTCCCCAGCCTCCCAGCCTCTTCCAGCAGAGGGGAGCACGTGGGTGGGGGGCTCCCGTTGAGCCCCCTAACGGTGTTTGTTCGTGTGACCCTCGGGATGTACACAGAGCCCTGGTGACACAGTGGGGGAAGCGGTGGGCTGCTCCCTGGCAGGTCAGCAGTTTGAACCCACCAGGTACCTGACGGGGGGGACAGATGAGGCTGTGCTCTTCGATAAGCATGACCACAGGGGCAGTTTTCCTGTCCTACAGGGTCACTGTGAGGCAGGGGTCTGGCTGTCAGGATGTGTGGAGCCCCTGAGTGAACAAGCTAGCCCAAGGGCTGGAGGTTTGAGTGCGGCAGGGGCTCTTCTGAGGACAGGCCTGGCCTTTGGAGAAAGCAGCCACGGACGACCTGAGCTGGCTCACCTCCACCTGGAGCTGGAACAGGCTCCACAGCACGGGGAGCTGCTTGATCAAGACACGAATACCCTCGCTCTCTCCCGTGCCGCTCCTCCCCACTGCCCGCCCCAACTCACGGGGACAAAGGGGACCACACAGCACCATTTCACACTTTGCTTTCCCCCCAACCCCCAGGCCCTCCGAACATTCTTTTCTCCCCACAGACTCCCTAAGCCTTTCTAGGAAGAAACCAACTCACCTGCAGGTCGGAAAGGAGCGGGGATCAGCTTGCCACTGTCGGGGTGCACTGTCGACTTCAAGAGAGGACACACCCAGGTCAACTTAGTGTTAGGTTTGTCCATTTCTTTCTACTCGACTTGGGGAGCCCGCGGGTGTATCCGAGGATCTGTGCTCAGGCGAGCTGTCAATGGCTGAAACTGTGCATAAGCAGACCCCCAGGCCTTTCCTCTGCAATGCCACCGCTAAGACCCACCAGCCCTGTGGGTTAGTGGTCAAGGGCAAGCAGTTTGTGACACTCGGGGATCTTTGTTATTTTAGGGTTGAAAAATTACTACGGGGCTGACTTACAAGACTCGTCTTCCAAGCTTCTTGCAACTGAAAAGAGGGCAAACAAAACAAAAAGGCAACAGCTTTCAGGGGCTTGGCAGCAAATAGTGTCCCTGTCAGTCTTGTCGCTGGTGGGCCCTTCACCCTGCCCCCCACGGAGCAAGGGTCCTGAGTGTTTTCCTACCGCAAAACCAAGGGCTTCAACGTGGGACCAACACACACACACATAAACCCATATCACACTATGAGAGGCGGGTCCGTCCACACAGACAACTCGCCAGACCTCTGAAGGTCAAACCTGCAAGTGTCTGCAAAGGAGGCCACAGGCCTCCAGCGAGTCCACCCTGGGATCTGGCAAGCCTGCAACCTGAATCTAGCCTGCCCCGCCCAGCACTGGTCAAGCTGTCAGCTGGCGGCCCAGCTCAACCAAAGGCAAACTTTGATCACTGCCTTTGCGTCAACACCGACTCAGCGGCTCTAAAGGACAGGGTCGATAAAACAGCCCTGTGGGTTTCCAAGACTGTAACTCTTTACAGGAGCAGAAAGCCTTGTCTTGCTCCCCTGGAGTGGCTGGTGGTTCCAAACTCCCGACCTTGTAGCCACCAGCAGAAGTCCCAGCAGGCTCTTAAGAAAAAACCCAGTTATGCATGAGCTTTCTGCAGGCTGCCTGTGTGGGACTGTCTGCTGATTCCACAAGCTCCCTACACCACTAGGTCTGCATGCCCAGGGTGACAACAAACATGGGGTCAGAGCCCTGGCGTTGGAAGGCAACGCCGCCCTGGAAAGCCTCAGACCAGCCACACAGGACGGCCAGTCCTCTGGCACCAGGAGCAGCCCTACTTGGTCCACTTTGTCACTGCTGTTGAGTGGAGTCTGGCTTGGAGCGACCCCCCCTCCAGGAGAGGAGTGAGGCCCTGTCTGGATTTCTAGGCTGGGATCACCAGGTCATCCTTCCTGGGGTGGCTGTGTGGGTTCCAACCCCCAGCCTCCTGGTACCGCAGCTGAGCGCCACCAGGGCTCCCTGTCCACTGGTTTCTGAGCAGAAATTCTAAGTGCATTTACACAGTTGGTGTGCAAACTGGTCCTGTTGGCTGTCCAAATACTCAGCCTGGGCGTGGGGGGCGCTACGCTCTGATCACAGTGATGGGCCTCATGGCCGGGCACAGGACTCCAGACCGTTCAAGCAGAACCGTCGGAAGTCGGCCCTCCCAGCCACCCTGGCATACCTGCTTCTCTTCCACGTTCCCGCTGGCTGCATTGGCGGATAACAGCTGTCTGGCTTTTCCTATTGTTTCCTACAATCAGAGACGAAGGTATCAAGGAGGGAACTGCTCACTCGCTGTCCGGACTGACCTACCACCTTCGAACCACTGCCCTCTTGCCGGCACACACTGGACGGGAAGCAGTGCTTCTTTCTGACGTCAGTGCAGCAGCGAGGCCGAGGCTGCCCACTTCCCGGGGGCTCCCACGGGGGTCCTCACAGGTGTAGTTCTGACTTAACATCCCTCCCCCACCGCCCCAAGTCACACACACACTTCCTAGACGGCCCTGCTGGCTTACCCCACTGCAGCCGCGCTCCTCCACCCGGGTTCTTCTTAGGGTCACCAGCTGCCTTAGTGGTGACAGGGCCACCCGCCTCTGGTCTGGTCAGCCACTTGGCAGACCTGCCCTCCTGCGCCCCATGTCCAGTCACACCACTCACCTTCCCTCTCTGCTTGGCTCTTTGAGAAAATAATAAACAGAAAAATACGAAGGCTGATTCTCTCCCAGACTGACCACTGTAAACAGTCTATCATACGTGTTTCTCCCTGGAACCGGGAATCATCACCCCCAGGGCTGCTTTCCCTCCCCATTCTTCCACTCCAGAGGTCACTGCCCTTCTGCGCACCAGGCGTATTCTTCCGACCCTGTACTTGGAGGCCCAGGGGCTGGAGATCTGCGTTTGGGTCCCAGCCAATGCACGGTGCATGCAGCCACCACCGTGTGGCTATCGGTAAGCGCCTGTGTGTTGCCACAAAGCTGAACACATTCGGCAAAGCTTCCAAAGCTGGACTAGGAAGAAAGGCCTGGTCATCCTGTCCTGGAATCAGCCAGTGAACATCTATGTACCCAACCGATCCGCAACTGAGCCTGGGGCTGGCTGCGTGGCTGGCAGCATTCGGCTCTGTTCTCCTTGGGGTCACTCTGAGGCAGGGGACAGCGTGAGACAGCTGATAACAGCAGGTGACTAGATGCATCCATCAACACTGAGCGATATTTGCTTTTGAGTATGTTACACTCTCTAAAGCAGCGATTCTCAACCTGTGGGTCGTGACTTTGGGGGTCGAACGACCCTTTCACACTGATTCATAACAGTAGCAAAATGACAGTTATGAAGTAGCGACGGAAATAATGTTATGGTTGGGAGTCACCACAACATGATAACTGTATGAAAGGGTCGTGGCATTAGGAAGGCTGAGAACCGCTGATCTAAAGAGAGCTAGAATTCTAGCAGCTTGCTGTCTCCAGTACACATCATCGACAGGGTCCATGTCCACTTAGGGCATCTCTCTGCTCTGTCACTTGTCACCGCAGGCAGAAGCCCACATACCACATGTCAATGGTCTGTTTCCCAACTGATGGCGTTCAGGTTGTTTCTTCTATAACTCAGTCTTCGGGTCTTTGTGGAGCACAGATATGGGACGGCCTCTTGGGGTCTTGCCCTGAAGGCTGGTGCTGGTGAGAAAGGCATCCCTTTTCCTCCCCAGGTTCCAACCCTCCTGGGCTTTCACTTGGATACCTTGGACCCTGAGCCAACTCCTGATCAGTTTCACTGACAGTGGAGTCCCCTCTGGGGACTCAACACTCAACTATAAGGAGTCCTCTGACACAGAAATGGCCCCATCCCCTTGCTGCCTGAGGACAGATGCAGTCCTCCCTCGTCTCAGCCACAACCGGCCCTTCACTGTCTACCTCACCGCCCAGCATAGCAAGTGCTGGTGGCTCCGACTGGCTCCCCAACCCTGGGTTTTGCACAGGAGCCCCTCCTGCTCCCTGATGTTTCCTCCCTGCCTCTGCCATCTCGGTCTCCTCAGATGTCCCAGCCCACAGGGGTCCTCTGGGGTCCCTTGGTGAGTGTCGTCCAGCACCGTCTTGGGCAATAGTCTACCGTGATCCTCAGGGTTTTCTGTGGCGAGTCTTTAAAGACATGTTGCAAAAAAAAAAAAAAAAAAAAGACATGTTGCCAGGCCTTTCTTCCTAGTCTGCCTTAGTCTGGAAGTTCTGCTGAAACCTGACCACCATGGGTGGCTCCGCTGGTAGTTGAAATATTGGTGGCACAGCTTCCAGCATCACAGCCATTGGCAAGCCACCACAGGAGGGAGAGACAGATAGACAAGACGGACAGATGTTCCTCCCCTGGTCTGTGATTCCTTACCAAGCCCTCTGGGAGCACTGTAGCACGTGGTGGGTGACCAGTATGGCTAGTCTGGCTTCTGACACGGGAGACATTTATTCCATTCTCTTTGAATCACCAGCACCTGCCGCCCAGGAGTGGGCATGGTCTGCGGACCAATGTCCACTCTGCACCATCCTGCCAAGCTGACAACCTTCTCCCAAAGAAATGAAAACGAAATAGCAGCTAGATTCTGTCATTTCTACTGTTTTCAAAGGGACCCATGACTTTCACATTCACTTAAAAAAAAGGCCAGGGGTGGGGGGGGGGGGGGGGGTGGGGGTGGGCGGAGCAGTCACCATCTGTTATCTCTGAAAATAAGAAAATACTTACAGTTGAAATGATCAAATTTGTAGGGTCTAATAATTCTGTCCACAGAAGAAATCTTTGAACAAAAGACTAAAGAGAAAAGGGGGGGAGGGGGGAGGGGAGCATCAGAATGGTTAATGGCAATAGGAAAACAAAGATAGACAATAATCATGACAAGTAACATTTTTTCTTTTATAACCTAGAAGGGCCCTGGAAGGTGCCCTGATGACGATGTGGATTAAGTATTGGGCTGCTAACCCCTAGGCCAGCAGTTCCAACCCACCGGCTTCTCTGGGGGAGAAAGATGAGGTTGTCTGCTCCTGTAAAGGTTTACAGCCTCAAAAACCTTATGGTGCAGTTCTCCCCTCTGCCCTCTGGGGTCACTCAGAGTCCGAATGGGCTGGTCGGACGGCAGGAAGTTTGGGTTCAGTGGGTGGGGGCTTGTATTGCATCTCTCCCTTTTTTCCCTTTGTCATCTCCTGGCAACCACCTGACAGATGAGGAAGCTGAACATTAGAAAGGCTCAGGAATGTCTCCAAGCAACCAATCAGGCCATGACTCCAGTCTACGCTTAAAACACCAAAAACAAAAACCAAACTCACGGCCATCAAGTCGATGCTGACTAACAGTGACCCTATAGGACAGGGTAGAACTGCCCCTGTGGGTTTCCAACACGGTAACTCTTTATAAGAGTAGAGAGCCCTGTCTTCTCCCTCAGAGGGGTTGCTGGTTTCAAACTGCAGACCTTGAAGTCGGCAGCCCAACTCATAACCACTATGCTGCCAGGGTTCCTTTCTTAAAATACAGGATCGGACAGCCTACAGCTGCACTTTGCAGCTGCTGCATTTCTTACAACTTGAAGGTTTGTGGGAACCGTGGACAAGTCCCTCGGCCTCACTTTCATCATGCTCATCACACCTTTAGTAGATGATAGGATAGTCTAAACGTAACTTTTGGACACACTGGACACCATAAAATGCGTATCAAAACTCATTGCTATCCAGGTGGCTCCTACTCAAAGCAGCCCTCTAGGACAGGGTAGAACTTACCCCTGTGTGTTTCCCATACTGACATTCTTTAAGGGAGTAGACAGCCTAGTCCTTTTCCTGAGAAGCAGCTGGTGGTTTCAAACTGCAGACCTTGCAGTAAGCAACCCAATATGTACCCAGTGTGCTGCCACGTTTTCACGGTTTTACTGCCATGTCTAGAGCCACAGAAAGCCCCGCAGCAATCTCTCACAGATATGCCTGTATCCTCACATCAAATTGCTCCTGAGTGAAAAGCTCAGACTCTAGGGTCCATAGGGCCTGTGTTCTTTTCCACACTTGAACCTGCCCATCCCATATCTGACCTTGCGGCAAGTACCTAGAAGAGCGGTTCTCAACCTTCCTAATGCCGTGACCTTTTCACACAGTTCTTTATGTTGTGGTGACCCCCAACCATAAAATTATTTTCATTGCTACTTCATCACTGCCATTTTGCTAGTTATGAATAGTCATGTAAATATCTGCTATGCAGGATGTATTTTCATTGTTACAAATTGAACATAATGAAAGCATAGTGATTCATCACAAAAACGATATACAATTACATATTGTGAAATATTTATTTCTAATGGAAAATAAATGAAATTTTGTCTTGAAGCATGGTGTAGCATGGGTAACAGTCTTCACACCAGGTACTAGTATGTGGGTATATCTGCATGTGAGCAGACCCGCCTGGAGACGGATAGAGGAGTGGTGTCTCAGTTCCCAAGACCTTTGGAAATATGTTTTCAGATAGTCTTAGGTGACCCCTGTGAAAGGGTCGTTCGACCCCCACAGGGGTTTCAACTCATAGGTTGAGACCGCTGACCTACAATGACCACAGAATCTGTTTCCTCACCCTTACAGTTGTTGTAAGACTTAGCTGCACTAATAAAGCCCTGTACACCCAGAAAGGGCTTGAGGAGGTAGCCAGGGTCACCGAGAAAGGAGGAGGATGGGCTGTTGCACCATGCCCCTAAAGGTCACCATGCTCTTGGCTTTGAATTCCTGGCCCTCCAGGGAACAACTTGACACCCAGTTTCCCCTCCCTGCTCCAACAAAGCTCAGAAAGCAAGATGGGGCCACTAAGGAGGGTGATTGGAACCAGGGAATCCAGGGAGGAAGGAGACCAAGTGCTGTTAGATTGTGGGGATTGCAATTGATGCCAGGAAACGAAATGCATATACATTGTTGAAGGGGTGCGCTGTCAACTTTTACCCAAACCACAAAATATCTTTAAAAGGAGGAGGACCTAGGTCTCATCGAGACTCCTACCAGTAAGAAAGCATCCCCAGGTGCCACTTGAAATATGCCTGCGCCCAAATGAGGCAGGACATGGGTGTGAAATGCACATACAAAAAGAGGTATAAAGCATCTCAACAATATTCTGGCTGGTTGTATGTTAAAATGATTAATTTGGATAGACTGCGGGAGCTAGAACTGGTTTTCCCTGGGGGGACGGGGGGATTGTTCGCCTGGGACAGGGTGCAGTAAGGACTACTTTCCTGTGGTTATTATAGGGGTATAATGATTGCAATTTGCTCGCTGACAGGTTTCCCCCTTGTACTGGTTCCGGTTACCACAGATTTAGTGCATGATTAAAATGCTTTACATGTTCTTTGTTCCTTTAAAATGTAGCTCAGGTATTTTCCATCACCTCCGTGGCTCCCCCCCCCCCCATTCTATGGAACAGACTTAAGCACTGCAGGAGGGGGTACGTGTCACTTGGGGAGATGACAGTTGTCTTAGCTTCCAGCACGCGCTCTCTGCACGCTGAGCAGCAGACCCAGAGGGAAAGAGACACCTGCGAAGCCCGGGGGCTCCTCAGCTAGGGTGATCTAGACCGTGACCTTGTGACAACCCTGCAAGTCCAAGCCTGGGTCTCAGGTGATGACGCTGGTGACCGGGTGCAGTGGAAGGTTTTCCCATCCTCCGCCCAGGGTCTTGCAAGCTCTTGGGCCGACTGTGCGGCAGGTGCAGAGGCACGCTCCAAACCCACTTCCGGGGGGAGGTCACCCAGCGCGCAGCGGGCACGTGGTTGTCGCCAGGTCGCCAGGCTCAGGTGGGCAAGGCGGGCCGGGTACACCAGACTTCACGAGCGCGGCCCCTCCACCCCCGCCCGGCCCGCGGCCCCGCCCCG